TGCGGGTGAATGATGGATGTTCGTCGCAGTGACTCCCCGGCTCAGCGGGTGGTGGGAACCAGCAGTCTGTGGGGTTCACATGTGGTGTGGGTAGGTGATGTACTGCTTTGCTCCAGGGGGTATTGGATGTGTGGACTGCCTTGTCTGCGCTCCTCCGTTGCGTTGTTGTTTACCGTGTTCACCGCTTGCTTCCCATGCTATTCTTTTGCTGTTGGTGTGTTCGCCGTGTAGGTCAGCTGTGTTGTTGGTATCCCCTTGTCACCCTTGTGCTTTGCTGTGATGTTGCCTTGCTGCCCATCTGCGTGCCTTGTCTTCCCGGGCACTTAATGCTTGTGTGCAGCGTGGTTCGGTTGCTTTGGCAGTGCCGCCTTCTGCTTCCCTGTGTCGTTGACTTGCTGCCCGTCTGCTTGTGCTGTTGTTCCATGCACTTATTTTGGCATTGTGCAGTTAGGCGGCCCGGTAGCGTCGCCTGGTGCTTCGCTGAGTCGTTGCCTGCTACTATATGTTCCGCTTGGGTAGTGTTGTGCCCTCGGGCGGTCTGCTTTTTCAAGAAGGGACAAAAGGGTTCATGACCCAAAGCATCAATATGGCGATTCCACAGATTATCGAGGGTTCAGCCTCCTGAGTCCTGCCTCCTGATGCATCGGCGCAAGTCCGACGAAACAGTCTATCATCATCAGTTCTTTTTTTTTTACGCTTTTTGTTTTTTGGTACTGGTACTGAAAAACTGAACTCATTTGTTGGCTTTAATTTTTTTCAGCCCTTGTGCGCTTCGCGTTGTGCGCCCTCTCGCCCTTTCCCGGGCCCTCAAACCTATTTGTTGCCTTACTGCTTTTGCCTTGGTGCTTATTGCCAGGCTCTTTCTTGTCTGCTGTTTGTTGTCTTCTCCCTGCCTTTAGACTTGACTCACTCAGATGTGTGTTCTCGTCCTGAGGTGTTGTGATGGTATGGCCTGTGCCATGTGGTCTTTTACGATGCTGGGGCTACTCAAATACGTGTTACACACACACACACACACACACACACAGATTTTCTTCACACACACACTCTTGCACACACACACACACACACACACACACACACACACACACACACACACACACACACACACACACACACACACACACACACACACACACACAC